TATGAGCAATAGATCCCTCAGTGTATGAAACGAAACAAGGAGAATTGCCTCCCGTTGACTGTATTTGGAGACCAGAATACCACCTACCAGCCTTCACGCCGGCATCCATGCGACAGTCTACAAACCCCAATAGTTTGGGATGAGAAATGATCTGCCGGTTTTGCCTAATCAAACATGCTGATAACCCACGTGCGAGAATGAGAAAACCATTGCTCCATCTCACCGTAGAGTAGCGGCACAATTTTCTGCAGCACCGTAGATCTACACTTGAGCCAAACACTTCCTTGCTCCAGCTCTCAGACCACCCACTATTTGCAAGGCTCGAGCGTCATGACAGTACGCCGAAAGGGCTGCTCGGGTTGATAGACCCCCACTCACTGATGCAGCCTGGGCCAAATCGACAGGCAGCTCGATAAGCTTACATAGAGTGCAAACATGCAGAGCTTTTCCAGTCGCTGGGACTCAACAGCAAATCCCCGCAACGAAGGGCTCTGGCCAGGATTTCGCTCCCACGAGATCTTGAGATCCAGAAGGGTCACCGACCACTATGATGGCCACCGTCGCGTTCGTTATCTGTTCTTGCTCACAATGGGCTGATTATCGCAAGAATCGAGGTGAGTGGTCATTCAGCCTGATCTTGCAGTAACTGCGTGCGGGGACGAGGTGCGCTGATGGCGACAAAGATACGAGCCGCCGTCGAATTTGTATGGCCAGCCTTGTTAATTCCCTCAACTTAGTATGTATCATGCCTTGTTGTCTAGTTCTGTCCTGGCCATACCCGCAGAATGTTGACGCGCCGATGTCACCTGAATAAAGGCTAGACGAACAGCTCACGTTATGTGGCGTTTGCGAACCGATGGTGAAGTCAAACCTACTGTTCATCACGGATTTCTCCATGGGCCGATTCCCACAATAGAGCCGGAGGCCCTGTTGCGAACCCGAACGGAGGCTCACGTTATATTTATCAACGTCGCCAGGCCCAGTTCCCTAAAGGTTACTGGTAGATGGGGCCTGACGCTAGAATCTGAGGCTGAGTGCCGATGAGGCTGTGGCTACGATGCTAAGGGCAAGCCACAAAGCCCTAGGTCCCGACGGGTAACATTGAAGCTGGTAAGTTTGCACAACCCTGGCAACGTTACTTTGGGAAAGTTTTTGCTAGCCTTTTGCGCACCCCTGCCAATGAGAGTTGCCGACCGTCGCCGGTTTTCTTCTTCTTTTTCTAAAGATACTGCAAGGGAAAGAAAGGGTGTGATCAATACGAATCAGCAAACTGATATCGAATTGATGTCCGAATGGAGATGGAATAGACGGCCGCACCTTGTAAAAGGGAAGGGCAAAGAGAGGTTTTCAAAGAGAGGGCTATTGGCTATTGGGCTATTGGTAATGGTCACTTGCCCACTGAGTCACAATCACTCAGCAATTGGTCGTGTTATTGATTTGCATGGATGATGACAAGAACCGATGCATCTCCAGACTGCGTCACTCAATCACCCGATTAAACATACCTAGGTCACCCATGGAGATCTGTTTGGGGGATCCAGAATCCAATTTTGGATTCGGAGAGCACGAGATTCGGAGGTTAAACCACGATGAAGTCATCGGACGCTGGAGGCCGTTGAAACATTCCAGCTATTTCGGTTGCTTCTACCAGCAATCCGGGGACCTGCCAGCCTGCTCTGAGGCTCAGCTTAGATGGGCGGGCTCCATGCTCGTGGCCCGGCAACCCCGGCGCTGGGCATAGGGCATGTGGCGGACCGCTAGCTTGGGCAACAGAGCGCCATTTTCCAAGAATAGCCCTTGTCAATTCGTGATGGCAGCCTTACACATCTGATTGACCCGACGTTACGTCCGCTATCGTCAACTGGATGTTTAAGCTTTCCCACGAGATCGAATCGTTACATACTGACATAGCCACACATGCGCGTAGGGTTCTGGTTATGCCACTCCGTTCTGGACCCTCCGACCGCTGTACTGTACATACGAAATTCTCCAACCGGGGTGCATTGCCAGCCAAGTGTTTGGATTGCTCTTGACGGGTCAGGTCAAGACAGAATTTGAAATTGTAAGCTTGGTGAGCCCAACAGCCATCACCGTGGGTCCTGTATGCAGAGATTTGCTCTAGACTTTGCTAGGTGCAGTAGCTGTGGACATGGCATGGCCCGCTGCTGGTTGACGACGATAACGAGAGCCAAGGAAGCAACATGGCTCTTTTGGGTCTGTCTTCCTCTTTGGGACATGGGGGGAGTGCCGTGAATGGTGGTGGTTTACAGCTGTCAGCAATACGGAGATCCAGGGTCTTGGCACCGGACAACCCACACCTCGTATCCATATCGCCATTTTCAACAGCCACTTCGCCATGGGCTTATCATCAGCCCTGCTCACAAGAGCTAGTCCCGTCATTGGCTTGGAATAGAATCGAGTTGACGAAGACTTTAGTCGGCTCCGCTCTATCTCGCTTACCTACCCAACAAATTAGGCCACCAGGTCGACGAGATATAAGAAATGCTCTGCCTCGCCTTCAGCCCCTTCTCTCATCATCTTATACACCATCGTCTTTCGTTCAAAGATTAGCTCTGTCGATCTAGGATCTAGATACCTTGACAAAGTACATTCGTTTAAACAACCACAACCACTAAACACCAACCACTATCATGAGGTCTTCAGGAATCATCGTCGCTGCTGCGGCTGCTGTCGCCAACGCTCACTACGAGAACGTAAGTTGCAATGGATACTGTTGAGGCTTCGAAACTTGTACTGACTTACATGACCTAGCCTTCTGTTGGCTTCACCACTGTCTACACCCACCCAGCCAACGTCACCAAGCCTACTGAGTACACTACCAGCACGGTCTACAGCACCAAGACCTACACCATCACTCAGTGCCGCCCTACTGTTGTCGACTGCCCCGTGGGCCATGTCACTACCGAGACCATCGCCGTTTCCACAACTGTCTGCCCTGTCACTGAGGTCCCTACTGAGCCCAGCAAGCCTCATGGGCCTGTTTACCCCAACCCTACTGAGCCCAAGCCTCATGAGCCTGTATCTACTCATCCGGGCCAGGAAGTTATCACCAAGACTCAGACATACGCCTACCCTCATCCTACCAACCCTGGCCAGAGCGTGACCAAGACCATCACTTACACCGTCCCCAAGGACCATGGCCACAACGCTACTGCTGTCAACCCTCCTCCTCATACCTATCACCCTGTTCCTACTGGTGGTGCTCCCGTCTACCATAATGGAACCACGCCCGGTTATCCCGGTAACCATGGTGGAAAGACTCCTCAGGGTGAAGAGAGCGGCAACGATGATGGCACTGACAGCGGATCCCATGGTGGCAGCAGCAGCGGCAGCAAGGGAGGCAACGGTGGCTCTGAATCCGAGGACCACGAGCCCTCGACTTCTTCTGATGTTCCCGAGACTGTCCAAACTGCTGGAGCTCACATGAACGCCGTCACTGGCCTTCTCGCCATCGTTGGCTTCGCCGCCGCCTATCTGATCTAAGATGGCTCTAACCACCACACCTTTTCTTCTACAAACTTCTTACGATCCTTACATGATGCATGAAAGCATAGCATTTGGGCATGATTTGATTTTGTTTGCGAAAGCGAACGGCGTTTACACACTGGGGTTATTTCCGCTATGGATACCAATGGATTGGGCCTAGCGATGACGGGATTGGGGATGCATTATATGAGATCCGAAAGCACATGCACACGACTTATATACTAATTTCTACATTTAATACTAGCGACCATTCATTTAGACTAGACTTTGATTCACATTATACCTAAAAGGGTGCTTTTTAAAATATAGACGGTTGCTTAAGACACATATACTATTTCCACAGTTCCATTGATCTTGATTTGCTGCACTAAAGCAAAACTTATCTGAAACATAAAATCATTACTGGGTCTGAGGATACTGTCTCGTATTTTACGTCCAAGGTCCAAGCATTCGGTAAACATGAAACCTAAAACGCCAACGACTCAGTGCTATGCTTTGCTGCAGAACGTATTGAAAACCCAGGCCTGTGGCACGTCTTGTTCGTTTTCACAGTCGCTCATGTAACTCAAGTAAAGCGCATATCGAAACAGGACCTCCCTCAACTCCTCTTTGCGTATCCTTCTCCCCACTCCGATCTGCCAGTTATCTATATCCAACTTGACCCCATTTGCACCCATTTCCACAGCCCATGACTGTCCACGCAAGCCAGCCCACAGCGCCATTAGGAATGATTCGTCAATGTGTAGGTTCTGTGGCACGCCGCATCTTGGTGACCAGATAGACGGTCGCCGACGGCGTCGTTCTGGGTCTCGCGCGATCGTCATAAGAGTGTCTTGAGCAACGACCGGATCAAGAAATGACACAAGTACTTCAAAGGTTCTCTTTGCAAGTATGGTGTTGAAGAACCGGGACGCCAGACGGACTTGCTTAAGAGCCGGGGCTTGGAGGTTGTCAAGGATCTGGATAACGATCTCTGAGGGGAGCGTTTCCATTGTAACGGGCCGCAGGAGAGCCATCGTAAAGGGTTCAGTAGGTAGGTACTGTGTCGTCAAGTACCTTATGCGGAGTGAGTGAAGACGAGGATGATGAAAAACAGAAGCGGTAACCTTCACGATAATGAATGGCTAGGTATGTCTTGCTACCTTCCTATTTGCTAATAATCTTCCGACCTGATGTCTTAGCTGTCCTGCAAACTCCCAATCCGTAAAGGTTCTCATAGTGAGACAGCCAACACAGTCAACGTAGATCCACCGATTTGGTCAAGCACAAGAGAGCCAATTGGCTCGTAAGCCGCAAGGTCTCTCGTAAGGGTTCTCGTAAGGCTTGCGGGGACATAAGCCGACCAGACTGACTGTGCTTTTAGTCTATACCTAGGTATGGGAAGTCTAGAAGTGTAAGATGCCATTCATATTTAACTGTACTGTACTCGACTAAGGCGGTGTTTTGTTTCCTTGACTTCGGGTCATATTCATAACTTCTTCAAAAAAACCACATTACTCGCTAGTCTCCTGTTGCCACCATGCCTTCATTAAACGTAACCTCTCCGTCCTCTCCTTAGCCATCCTCCTCCCTTCCTCCGTTTTCATCATGCCCTCAAGCAACAGGAGCTTGTCATCAAAATGCTCCATAGTGTTCTCCAATGTCCGACTCTTGGCACCTCCAAATGCGAACGTCCTCGCAATGCCTACGGCGCCAATGGCATCTAGGCGGTCGGCATCCTGAACAACGGCCAGCTCCGGATACTTGCCCACAAGCGCCTGTGTCCGCGCCGGGTCCTTGACTTCGGAGGAGTAGCTGACGCCGAGGCAGATGGCCTGGACGGTGTTGGCAAGGGCCTGCGGTGCACCAAAGGACACGAGCACGGATGCTACCATGCGAGAAGGGTCCTCACCAGGGCGGAGGTACTTCTTGTCACCAACGTCGTGGAGCAGTGCGGCCAGCGTGACCAGATCTTGGCGTGTTGAGGGGGTATGAGACTGGATATGTTGCGAGAGACGGAGGACACGCTTGATATGGTTGAAGTCATGCGATGCGTCATACTTGGACATATATTCCTCAACATAATTTGTCACTTTGCCAATAAGGGCATCATCAACTGACCAGTCTTGGGTAGTCATTATGTGAAGTCTGTAATCGGAGATGGCTAGGTATGTCTGTAAGCAAGACGGTAGATTTGGTGTTCCAGTAGAGGAAACGTGTCTCAATATCTTACTCCGTATGGTGACCTGGAATTGTCCTGAGGATGACTGAAGCACGGAATAGTGGAGGATCGAAAGTAAGACCCTAAAATTCTATGCCGTGAAAATTGACCCTAGACACGAAATGGAACTCCTACCAGCCTTTGTAGCTCAGCACTCTGATTTGAGTATCTCCTGTAAGGATCGTATAACGCAATCTTTAGAGACGAAGTCCAAACAGATGCCTGAGGTCGAATATATGACGCTTGTCTAGAGAATGTAGGACGCGATGGCCCGCCGTGAATGAAAGATAATCTGGATACAAAACGGGTCCCACGTGACAGGCCACCGAAATTCCAAAACGGGACTCATTATTGCATTAAGAAGTTCTCTGATATAAGGTACCTCATGAATGAAGTCACCTGTGTTTCATAAGGTTCCCGTCAGACAAACCATTCGACAGAGGTCTCTCTGACGATTACTAGCACCTCTATTATTTCTTCTATTTCCGTTGAGAAACATGATCGACAGGAAGACAAAGTTTTTGCTTGGAATTGCAGCCCTTTGACCACCTTTCACCGCTTGCTTTAATGCCTACTACCTGGCGGCCTGGGTACTACAGGTAGGTATCTATATGTACCAAGTCAGGTCCTGTATATGAGTGCATGAATATCAGCTCGTGCCACGATATAGGCATTGACTGAACTGAAACATGATTCAAATGTCTAATAATAGGTATCCAGTATACTGTCAAAGTCTAACATTACTCGTCACTCGTAGGCTGTTATGATTATGTATGCTAGATACACTGAATTTGTGCCATGCAGCGTATCCATGTGTGGGTATTATTCTTCATGCACCCAGGACAAAAACATATCGATACAGGCAAAAAAGTGTTATCTGAGAGAAAGTTCGTGGCATGCAAGGCCATCTAAGTGTAACCTTCTGCCAAGTGATTGCCACGCGCTGTGGAAAAGCAAGTTACGATACTGTCGATGCAGTATCAATTAGAATGACAAGAGCCCAGACTCACCGCTCGACATACCGACCGATTACTCATTCGATCAAGGAGAGGAAAGGTCACGCTCTGACCGAGGTTCCGCAACGGGGAACTTTCAGCTGTGCCTATCGAGGAGTCCCCCTCTTTCAAAAGGCAGCTATCACGGGGAACAACTTGGGTTGCCCTGGCCTCTCGCGGTGTCAGAAGACTTACATAAGTACCTTGGTGATTATATCAGGGGGCAGAAATAAACTGGCCAAAGTGCCTGCTGAAACCATACTGGATTGTATTCATACAATCTGAGCCTTTTTGTCGTTTGGGACTTCAGTCATAGAGTCACTCGGTGGTGGGTGACTTCGTGTAAGTGTGACGGACCTCACATACCCGCCGAAGCTAAAAGGCATAGCATGCATGGAGATGGATTAGAGAGGACCGATGCTACCGATGCTAGACCCGGGAAGGTAGAAGGCATCTGGCACACGCGGACGGGCCGTAGAGGGGGAGATGGAGATAGTACGCTTAGACCCATTATGCTTATCGAACGGGAACCTGGCTTGGCATATTTCATTTTTTTTCTGTGAGCCAAGGTCACCTCAATGATGGCCCGTGGCTTGTTATCAGAGATTTCAGTCTGCATACAAATAAAGAGCCTTTAAGGGATGCGAGTAGAGGTGGCTGGATAGGTAGGTAGGGGGATAGAGATAGACGAGGCCTCGATATGTATGTACCTTGTAGGTGAAGGCCACCGCCAATTCGCATACCTCTCTCTTCTGGGCCATGTACAGTACCTCTGTAAGCGTAGCGCAGACGCGGCAAATCCACACTACCATTGTCGACTTGCATCTGAAGCGTGATATGGCGTACATACTACCGCCAATACGACAACAGCGGAGCATACAGTTCCGCCGTGATTCTGAGAGCATATCCATCTACGTAGGGAGGTAGTGAGTCAATTATTGACTCGTCCAATTCTTCAAGCCGGCCGCATGAACTCGAGGGTTGCACTACAGTTCGCCCGACTAGAGAGCGGCCCAATAATGGCCAGAGGTGTCAAGCGGTGCGGTGCAAGTCAGAGAGGCAGAACATTACGGCAGATGCGAGGCAAGGCAAGGCAAGGCGATGCGATGCGATGCGATGCGATGCGATGTGCGATGAGCATACAGTAAGTCGGCTTTGCATGATCCATAGATTACAATGTGCTGCTGAGGCCACGAGAGCCGACAAATCTGGTGTCTAGGCCGTACAAGAAATGACACTGATGTTGCGTCCTTGCATGGCTGAAATGCAAGTGGTTGATGTGAGATGTGGTTGACGACTGTTGGTAATTGGCCGGGCCTGCAGCGTGACGAGAGGTTGAATCTAGCGGTGCCACAAGCCAATTACGGCGTTGGAATAGACGCTCTACGGGGGTCGCTCTTTGGGCCTGTTTAGCGGTGATGGGCTCCTGATTGGCGCAGTGTTTCTCCCCGCTCTGGGGCTGCTTCTAAATATCGCAGCATTTGAATTTTAGCATCCATGCCCGGGTTGTGTCCCACTTTTGATGCACGCACTTACTTGATCCACACTTGCTTAACCGCCCACGCTTGTCCCGGGAGGGAAGAGGGAACCGTTCAATTGTGATGGGTCGAGTGATAGTAGATGACATGAACTCGGCATTTCCTTGTCTGCAGCCCGTGATTGGCTGTCTCTGTAGTTGAAGAGTCCTTGCTTCTTGTAAATCTGTGTGTATGTGTATGTGTATGTGTGTGCGTAATTCGTAATTCACACGGACGGCAACAGATGTTATTGTCAATCAATACATCCCGTCGGGTCCATCACAATTATCTATCCATCCACATGATGATGGATGGATATTGGATCCATGGATCCATGCAGAATGGCTGTGGCCGCTGTACACGGCCGTTCCTTATAAACAGGACCAACACCCACCCCCAAAGCCTCTCTTCTTCTTTTTTCTCTTCTTCTTCAGCAAGTCCTTTTCAATCGCAAATCCTGTTTTTGTTCTTGGGTCTCTTACCCTTCCCCCCGTTTGTGTTTTCGTTGTTCACCGTGGAGCCGGTCTCTACTACTATCTTTCTAATTTTCGTTGTCTCTAATCAAAGATATCCGTCAACTCCAAAGCCTACTCAATAAGTTGCTGGCCAGCTTAGAGACATCAACCTTTTAACGATTATCCTACTTTTTTTGTTACTGCTCGTCCCGCCTGTTATAATCATCTAATTACAGAAATCACGGATTTCACTTGCTCGCGCCAACTATCAAACAATATTGCATTGATCAAACTTTCATTGTTCGCATCATCGACTCACCAAACAACTCAAACGCATAATTGAATCAAATCAACTCAAAGCAAAATGTCGGCTGTTCAACTTTCTTTCTCTCTCCGCGTCTCCTCTGGCGTCAAGACTGTCCACCTTCTCGGCTCTTGGGACGGTTACGTCGGTCAGCTCCCTCTCTCCAAGGACAAGTCCTCCTCCAAGTCCGGCTCCTGGAAGGGCACCTTTCGATTCCAAAACTCAACTCTTGAGGCTGGCCAACGATACTGGTACTACTACATCATCGATGGTTACCATGTTGCCCACAACCCCAGCGTCACCTCAACCATCGAGCCCACCACTGGCCGTGAGCTGAACGTTCTTGACGTTCCCACCGACTCCCACAAGTCTTCGTCCCACCGCTCTTCATCTTCCAAGTCTTCCTCCAAGTCTTCCTCTTCTTCTTCTTCCAAGTCCTCATCCAAGTCATCGTCGCACAAGTCTTCCTCCAGCAGCAAGAGCTCTTCTCACTCCTCCAAGGACAAGGAGTCGCGATCCTCGCGATCCTCACGCCACAGCTCTAAGCTCTCAGTTGACATCCCCAAGGGCCGCCCCCTATCAATCTCCCAGATCCAGGCCCCCAAGCCCATGTCTCCCCATGCGACTAGGCACATCTTGGATGCTTCCTACTACGACAACGAGGAACTTGAGGAGCTTGCCGACCGCTTCGGCAGCGCCAACATCGAGGACGAGTTCATCACTGACTTCAGCACATCGCCAATCTCCTCCAGTGGCTCTTCTCTGTCCTACCGCTCCGACAGCTCCTCACCCAACTCGTCCCTCTCTGGCTACAGCACTCCCGGATCCGACGTCAGCTCTTGCACTTGCGAGCGCTATGGCATCACTCGCAAGGGCGAGCGTGTCAAGCTCGACTGCGGCGGATCCCGCTGTGGCTACGATGACGACAGTGACTCCATCTGCTCTAGTGGCAGTGAAGACGAGTATGAGTATGAAGAAGCCTCCGTCTCGCGCACCAGCTCTCGCCGCCACGGCGTGGTCGCATAAATACGTCAGTGTGCGGAGGGCTCTGTGGCAACAGGTTGAGAGAACCTCTAGCCGTTCATTCTTTAAATCGGGCATCCCCTGGCAGCACACTCGCGCCGGGATGACTCGACCTATGTTGTTGTGGTAATATCAGCAATCATTTTTCTGTTCCGACCTGCGTCACGCTGTCAGACGTGGATGGTACGCCGAGCTGGTCTCGTACGTTCCACCGCGACGATGCGCTGATCGTTAGCTAGGTCGATGCTGCGGCCGTTCGGCGCAGTCCTCTCGTGGCTGCGCAGACGTAATTTCTATTCCTCACTCTGTTGGTTCCTGAGTGAGCTGGGAGTTCTCGAAAGAGGCTGCCCCAGAAGCAAACAATGTCAACGCATGAGAAATCTCATCTGTCCTGATGATGAGATCCCTTTTCTTGCAGACAATATCTGGATGTGGTTCAGGGCCTGGCGATTGGTGAAGGTCTAGACCAGCCATTACGAAGTATGGGGTGGATGATCAAGGACAGTCATGAGCAACGATTTAATGAATGAAATAGCTTAGCTGTCTAGGATAGATGACGATTGAATCTATTCATGAAACGAGATGAGAGGCCTTGAGTAATAGAGCAACGTGATGATGTACTA